AATATATTTTATTATATTATATTGTAGTAGTAAGGTTTGTTTGAAGTGCATGAAAAAAAGTTAGTGAAATTACAGGAGGAACAATCTAATAGAGCAATAATAGGTGCATTCACTGCGCATCTGAGAGGAGGAGGGGGAAAAAAAGAAGAGTTTTCACTCATTTTGGCCTAAAACGTGTTCAGGTTTCCAGGATTCTGACATCAGAACCCAGATAACACTGGTTAGAACCATAGGGCTTTACAATAAAAGCTAAAATATTGACCATATGATGGCAAAAAGTCTTTTATTTGTGGTTAACTTATTCTCTTCTAGCTACTCTCTGATGAAGTTGGTGGCGCTGTAGAGGATGATCTCCTTCTTCTTGACAAAGATCGTGATCGTTCAGCACTGTAGGCAACATGCTTATCATAATTTTGTATCTGAGCCTCGAGGAAATCCCTTTGTTGCTGGCTGATTGTCTGGCTAATCAGTCCAGGAAGAGCTTGAATGCTACCAATTAAAGTTTCCAGTTTAGCTTCCAGAGTAACAATTCTCTTCTCAAAATCTTCACTTCTTTCATTTAAGTCAGAAATCATGTCATACATGATGTTTTGAGTCTGAAAGTAGAAGGATGTAAACAAAAGCTTAGAGACCTTACAAATACTGTAACAAGCAGCACAACTCTACAAGGGTTTGTAAATGCTTCACAAAAAAAAAAAAGGATATGAATATTATAACAATATATAGTCTTATGAAATTATTCTCTTTGTAGATTTGGAATATATTTTCTATTAAATTTGTTTAACAAAAACTTAATATAGTTTGAGTGGCACTTTAGTTGTCAAGGTCTAAATGAATTAGACAAAAGACCACAGCTTTTAGAGAAGTTCATGTGCTTAGAAATGCACCATGCTAAGCTTTGCAGTCAAGTTGTGTAAGCAACCAGGAGACCACAGCTTCCAAAGCCATGAGCAACCAGGAGACCAAAGGCTCCAAAGCCATCAGATATCTGTTATTTCCTCTGGTTTTTAAACACCCTCATTCAAACATTGTTCATCTGTTTTCTCCTTAAACTGGCCAGGTTTTCTTAAACTGTCTGTATTATGAGTAGCTGGATGGATTGGTTTTGAAAAGTAGTGCAAGGAGTAAAAACTCAGTCGCATGTCTCTCTACTTCTGCATTCCCCAATCTAACTGCCCTCTACAAAACAGTGTTTGGTTACAGCAAGTGTATAGGGTGTGCTTAAAAATGGCATAGCGGTCAGTAGATATGCCATCTGAAATGTGTTATTTCATAGACACTTGGAACTGGTTAAAAATAATGACTGAATTTCTCCCTCTGATGGACTAGGACTTCAAATTAGACTTAAATTCGAGCCAAAAGTGGATGTAATTCAGTAGACAAATTGGTTGGAGCTTATAAATCATCCAAAGGGAATGAAAATTAATTGAAAGACTGACTGCCTGAAGTGTAAAGCACTTCAGTATGAATGTCAATAACCCATTTCTTTGCCCTTTGTTTCAAGATGCTAGCACAACCCTTGAAAGCAAAGTGGTCTACATTAAATAGCGTTTGAAACATCCTTATCATTTGCCAGAAGCATTAGACTGAAATGTATTTTTCAGGAACTGAAGCTGTGTGGTCATTCTCTGAAGCAAAAGCGGACACCAAAAAGTTTAATCTTTTCTCTGCTGCACTTTAAATTGAGAAGACTTTTGAGTTTTTTACACGAAACCCTTAGGAAAAGACCATTAATGTCTCTAAGGTAGCCTCAAATTAAGATGAAAGTAACTGTTAAATGATGAGGTCTAATGTGAAGCCTGGAATGCTATCAGCTCAACCCTCTAACTATCTAGTTATTATTTTGTATTAATAAAAAATCCCAGCAACAACTGACAAGCAGTTTGCATCCAAATAGCCTGTTTCATGCATCTTAAATGTCTTTAAAACAACTTAGAAAGCCTTATGATATATCAGCAAAGTAGGTGGCTATTATTTATTATAAAGACTTAAACAAATGCAGACCTAAATTTATTTGTCCAAAGTCACTGCTGCGTAAGACTACAGGAATAGAAATCCAGAACCTAAAATTCCAGTCTGCATAAGAGACTTTGTACTTCAGCCCCTCACACAGCACAGACACTATCACCAGACGGGAAGTCTCTTTACTACACAGCACTACACTACTACAGCCCACTCACAGTTCAGCATTTACCGTGACCACTGCAGTCACTTTAGGAGCTCTCAGGATCAGCCTCCCAATTGTGAAATCTTTTTCAATGTAACAAAAAAAACAAAACAAAACCAGAAACAACAAATCACAGTGCATTCAAATTTTGGTCAGAAACATAAACAAGATCTTTCATGTAGTAGGTGTTACCAACAAATACATACATATTTCCATTTTCTGCAAATAACAAACTTTTTTGTAATATCTGTATGTATAGTTCTTAAAATTTTCACTTACAAACTCTTCATTTAGAAAGGATGAATACTAAAACAACAGTAATTGCTTACTAACCTTTGCCAGGTCCACCAAAGTGTTGGCTTGATCATTCAGTTTCCTTTGTTCCATTTTTACACTTCTTAATCTAAAAGGTGGAATTTTAAGTCAGATTTGTTTTGCATATGTGGTCATATTACCATTTCTAAAAAGCATGCACAAAACTTACAAGAGCAAATAACTGCATGGACAATGCCTTGGCTACTTTGTGTAAAGTCAGAATCAGTCATGTGCCTGCTACAATGAGAAGCATGCTTCTTCAACACCGCAAAAAAGGAAAGAGCAAGGAAATGTGATGTCCTTGAGAATACCATTTGCCATGGTCAAAATTGAATTCAGAAAGGGAGATAACAATTTATCCAGACTACATGAAAGAAAGCCAGAACATTCCTCAAAGCCTCAGTATCATGACAAGTAGATATAGGAAGAAACATAGAACAACTAGTTTTTTTTGTCATTAATGTCATCGCAATCAAGAATCTTCCCATGTCTACATGACTAGATACAGGTATTAGCCCTGTTCTGTCGGAAATGGATTGGGTTAGCAGGTGTTTGAACCTGATGGAAATACAGTGATAAGTGAGTTTCTCATGACATTAAACAGAACTTCCATCTGATCAGCAGCTAAATAACCAACATACTTGCCAATACATTTGATTTTCTTACATAATTTGTGAATCTAAACATGATTACATTTTAAACTTAAATTAGACATTTCTTTTCAATGTGCTATTTGAAGTACGGCATTGAAAAAAGTGGCAAGGGGTATTTTTCTCTTTGATGCCTACCCATCTGCATTATTACTAGTTATGCAGATTTTTTGAAAGACATATACATGACCTTTCTCATGTGTTCAACAAAACAAAGCGTATTTCAGATTAACTACTACATAAGTCGTTTATAGATACGATTTTCACAAATAAGCAATTTCTCCCTTAAGAGTTATTTTTTCAACATTTCCCAACAGAGAAACACCTGGACTTTCAATGACTGTTCTGGTTGCTGTTCTAAGCAGAAAATAGTATTAAAAAACATAAAATATCAGTTTATAAACAATGAGTGATAAGAGACCTTGCAGTCTACTAATATGTCAAGGGCCAACCAAGATAACCACGTGGTTAGCTGTCAAATGAAATAAAGTTCAGCAGTATTTTGTGGCAGGTGAGTTGCCAATGCACACTCTGCCTGTTTCTCAGTGATACTGTTACTCTGAAAGCTAGTTTAAAGAAAGCCTTCGTGGAGATATTCCAAAATCAGGAAGTTTCTGCTACTATCTTTAGTTACTGAGTATCTCTTTTCTTATCTAAGCTAACTGCCATGAGAAAATAAGTTGTGAAGAGTGAAGTATATTTTGAAACACATAGAAATAACTCTGTTAAGGCAGAAGTAAATTGGTCACATAAAAGTGACATTCCAGCACCTTGTTACTGTAATGTCGTATGCTCTTCTTCCGCTGGAGTCTTCCTCCAGAGCACAACATAAATGCAGACTGTAGGAATAGTGCTTTTAGAGGATATGAGCTGGAGCTATTCTAAAGCAAAAATATGGAAGTCTCCAAGGTACAGGCTTATACTGTTACAGTCTCAGAACAGAATAATTACTCAAAAATAAGCATGTAATGATTTCACTGTAAAATTATAACCCTAGTGTTTTGGTAAGCATCTCTCAATTCGTAGAACATGTGTTTTCTGCTTTTCTTATGATTCATTGGCTCATTTGTTTGTCAGTTAGTATTTTAATTTTAAAATTATAAGAAGTCCATTGCTATTGTAGCAATATAAGTACCGGCTGACACCAACATGATAGTTCCTCATGGTAACCAACACAATACATAAAACAGACAGTGAAAATGTGTCTCTAGGTAATGGCAAGTCTTTAGCTGCAGCAACTGGATTTACAGAAAATGGTCAGACTTTCACTCCTAAATTCATTTAGAGAAAATACGAAATGTCTTGATTTTATAAACTTCACTTATCACAGCAAAAGATCATGATTCTGGATCGCGTTTCCATGGCAGCAATCAGACCACTTAAGTTCACAAATAAAGACTCTATTTTTTGCATGCAGACAGTGGTATATTCTGCAAATTTAAAAAGGAACAGCTTTTACAACTTACTTCCGAGCTCTATTTTCATTTTGTTGAAATAAAAAGACAAAACAAAAGAAAACAAACTGTAAAATATACTAAAACAACCAAATGAGCACAGTGGGCTCGATTCAGCAGGTGGGAAGTCCTAGGGAGTTGCTACTTATTTCAATCAGTAAGCACCTGAGGTGGAATCTAACTCACTTGAATTTCTGATGAAGGAATCTACAATAGCTTCAAACCTTTCCATTAACTACCATCTGTAGATTTTCTTATTAATACAATACATAAAATGACTTTTAATAGTATTGTTTAGAGTGATGATTTCACCTTCACGTTACTTAGTGTGCATGACAAGCAAAAAAGACCCAGACCGGGTGAAGGAAGTTTTAGAGCTGCGACCATGAGATTGTCACCATGGTCTGCTCTGGATTCTTGTTTGAAATCGGCCCTGAAACTTCATTCCTTTTATTTCTGTCTCCAGTGAAATGGCTGGCAAGTTGAAGGAGGAAGACCAGTAAAAACCTAAGAAACCAGAAGGATGGAAAAGAGCTATGTACTACTATGAGCCACTCGAGAAAAGTTCAAAGATGCACAAGAAGGTGCATTCTTCAGTATATTGAGAAATATTTTTTTTTTTTGCTTAAATACAAATGTTTTGGAAATGGTATGCAAAGCACTAAACAACAGAGGGAAGTGCATTATTTACATAGCTGTTCAAAGTTTAGCCAGCACAGCTAGGAAAAAATTACTGCCATCACCTTCTTCACCCAACCTGATTAATGAATTTTTAAGGCAGGTGCAGAACAACACTTTACATCCTGTGGAGCTGTTTAGGGTTTGAATGACATAAAGCTGCAGATCGAGCCTGCTGTGCTTTTAAGATTCTTCTTTCAACATGTGTGCACCAGACACACACAGACACATACACAGAGACACACAAAATAAATAGCAAAGTTAAAATGTTAAGGAATAAGCTTTGTAATCAAGGATTCACTTCCAGCATAGGATGTACAGGTCATGCCACCCTCTATCCCAGAACCCCGGCCACCCCTCTACACCTCCCAACCCTTTAAGGGAAGCAGGATGACCTGGGAAAATATACTTTTTTGATCCATAAAAAATGCCTTGACCTTTGTCATCCTTTTATTTTTTCAAGTATTTCTCCAATAGCACATTAACATTTAACCCTTCAAGTTTGCTACATCTAATATAGTAATCAAGGTTTATAGAATACTTCATACCTTAGACTTAGCTATGAAACTGTTACGAAACAGAGAAATAACGACTTTTATCCTAGATTTACTAACAGGGAATACGATAACCAGGCCCTTCCTTCCTGTCTTTCCTGCAAGATAACATGTAGCTATTTTTTTTCATAAGGGATGCCTCCCTCACATCTCCTCACAGGCTAGCTCAGTCACAGATTGAAATTCAAAAGTTATCAAAACATCACCTCGAAATGAAACTTATCTACATCTCCCCCGTATCTCATGGAAACTAATTTAATAGATTGTACTAATGGCTAGATGGGGACATTGAATAGAGCAGACAAATAATGGCATGGGGCCTGACCATTCCTCAAGAAGAATCTGTGGTTCCTGGTGACAAAGGTCTCTTTTTTTCTCCCACGCAGTCCAGGAAAGGGTAACTGAACCATCATGCAATTCTGGGGGTTTGGATGTGCTTTATGAAAAGTATGTACTATGAATTTTAGATAAATCATTATAGTTAAGCAATACTGTAATTCCGCTTAAACCTACCACTAGTAACAGTTCTTAGGCTTGTTTTCAATCTTTTAAGATTTCAGTAGAGAGGACGAACTCATCTGAATCATGCTAGCGGTGCTCAACGATCACAAAAAGACTGTTGGCATATAATTTTCCATAACAAATGTCAAGGGTCATAGCTGACACATCAATGTTTGATTTTATGCGCTGAGACTATATAGTGGAGACAGGCAGCTAACTGCTACTGAGCGGTACAGTGACTCCTGATGCATAGTCATTAAACACAACATACATATGCACAGGCTCTCTCCTATCACATCATTCTGATTTTAAATTATTAAAATATCTACTACAAATGATTTTTTTTTCATTTTCTTCCATCTATTGTAGCTTGTACCTTACTACCTGTACGCAAATATGTAGCAACAAAGGATAGTCTCAGTGGCAAAAGATAAAAAAAAAAATCTTTGATAATTCAAGAAGCATGGAAAACTTCTAAGAATATATAAACAAGTTTGATTTACACCGTATTGGACTTACACAGCCATTTATTATTTTATTTTATTTTGGTAAACAGATAAGGCATTGAAACCTCGTCTTTGTCTTAGAGAAAAATCAACCTCAAAAGCAATGTTCTAGGAAGGGAAGAGAGAGCAGATGCAGAGTGAAGGGAGGAGGCAGGACAGGACATGGGGAATAAGAGTCATAGTGAGAGAGAGGGTATCTCAGAAAGAAAACACCTGGAGAGGAAAACTAAAGCAAAATAGTACTTACTGGTGAATAGCTTGCAAGAATTTGCGTTGATGTTTCCTTACTTTTGCATGGTCTATCTTTTTAACCAGCTTTGTATTTTTATAAATTAACCATGTTTCCCTGAGTACATTGGCCGCTGCATTTTTCACCTGTTTAATAAAACAAAAAAAACAGGCTGACAAAAGTAGGATTAGGTCATGTCTTCTGTTTTCTGGTATAAACTCTTTCTAAAGCAGTTAAGACCCTGCCTAACTGTGGGAAGCGGGTACATCAAGAAGCTGCAGCACTGAGGGCAGTAAGCAGTAAATGGACCAAGGGGACTGCTGAGCAATTCCTACCTTACTTATAAACTTGACATTAGGACCAGCTCTGGGGAATAATTTGTCTCTCCTTAAAGAGTTAGCACTGTTTGGTCTCTATGGCAATATAAATTACAGTGAGGAAATACTAATGAATTAGCTGTATGATAATTAGCTAAATGTATTTCATAGGATCATAAAATTTCTCTCTTTCTTGTTCTGTGGTTGGTATCTCTTAATTATTTTAGCAATTTAGCAGTCTTTTAAATGTCTAGAGCTGCTTGAATATACTGAGTTTTTGTTTGAATTTTTATTCTTGTTCCTTTTTTACCATTTTCAGAGTTGAAAATACAGCTTGTCAATTAATGCAGCCAGCATTCTATTTTACAAGTGCTTAGAGTTTTTTTCAAATGAGGCTTTCCATAAAATATTCAAGGTAAGAGTATCTACAGTTCCTTCTTCATCCCTCCAGAATTTTGAAGAATGCTTTAAAACAACAGTCAAAAAATTTCAGCTGAATATTGATTAACAACCAAATGACTACATTACTTGCAAAGGAAAATTTTTAAATTGTGTTACCTAAGGAAAACTTTAAAATATTTTTCAGAAATTCCAATGATTTCTAAAGTTTTTTTTAAAAATAGTCTCTTAGAAAAATAGTATTATCTACAAACATCCTTCGGGACACGTCAGTATTGTGTGCCACAAAGTGAATCCCATACTGAGTAGACAAAGCAATTGGAAAGACTGTCTCACTCGCAAACCATGAATATGTCTTTTTCTTAAGAACAACCCTCATAGCTTGAACTTCTTGGATATGTCAGTCATTTCATCTATTTTAGCTACAAAAATTTTATAAATTTTTCTCATATGCTGCATGGAAGTTTTTTAGTTTAATATAATAGTCTTTATTTTCACAGCATTTAAATGTTGGTTATAACAATTATCTTCCAGCTGCAAGAACCCTCTATAGAAGAATACTCAGATCCTCAAAATCTACTGAGAACTTGCAGTTGCCTTCAATTCAGAGAAAAGCTCAAGGCATTCGAATCCTCCTTCTTGCAAAATCACACCCATGGAAAAGTTCAGTAGGAGAATGGAACAGGAGACTATTTAAAACAAATGCAGAAATAAATTAACATATTTCCTTTTCAGTTGTGAATATAAAGTGTGACTTACTCTTTTAGTTAGCTGGGTGTCCATCATGAAATTATGCACATGTTTTTCAGCTTTGGTAAGTTCTAACTTCCTTGCCACCACAGCTACCACCAGTGCAGTGCACCCAGCACCCTGAAAACAATAAAACAACCCCCCAAGATGTTACTACTGCATTTTGCAGGATTTTTAGTGGAAGTTTCTCCTTTGCTGTAGAAGTATGGCAGGCATCAGGTGATTCATCCCTGGTAAATATAGTGAACATGCTACAGCTATTTCAGTTCAAAGTAATAGGAAAAGTCAGTAATTACAGGCTGGTAAACTGTCAAGGCATCAAAATAATTAGTGAGCAGCATTGCTTAAAAGTTCTGCTTTTATTCCTGCATGGGTTGAAAATTTGAACATATCCCACTTCTAGTGTATAAACAAAGCGGGTGATCAAAACCACTTTAAAACCCAGAATATTAGTAAATAAATGCAGAATACCCTGTTCTTATAAACTATCTCAAGGCTACAGCATTTGCTAAAGAGGAAATAAGATTAGATTCGTATTTAACACACACATACACAGAAAAATTTCAAGATTTTCCATAGGGCCTAAAAATAATAATAAATTTAGTATTTAATCACTTTAATATACTTCCCTGTTGTTCTCTTAGTCTTCAGTAATCTTTTCCTGTAGTATTTCTGCTTATCTTATTAAAAAGAGCACACACACACAAGACCATTTCTTCAAAACTTAGATAGAGAAAATATCAATTTTCCAATTTGTGCCGTGTGTTTGTATACATAGGTGTGTATATACATGGACATGCATGTTCGCAACAGGACGAAGCCAGTAAGTGCCTGTCCCCTTTGAATGGCAGTGCTTTTATCAGCATCTCAAATGTAAAGGTTTTCTTGAGGGAAAATAAAGCAAAGGAGGCTAATACGAGCCAGGTGATGAGAAGCAGCCTCTACTGGACATATCCAGAGTCTACCATTTACTTTCCACTATTAATAAACTCTGCTGCCTTAGCAATTTAAAAAAAACCAACCAACCAAACAAAAACTAAACAAAACCAACAAACATATCTTTACAGTTTTTTTTATAAAGTACAGAAAACACAGTAAGTATACAAGACTGTGTGTAACTAGTTGTTACTGCACCTATGTCAGTTACTCTCCAGTATAAAGCAATTTTGAAGCTTACCACATTTTCATTTGTAGAGCTTACTTCCACTCATTCTGTATTTTTCCCAATAATTTACTCTTTCCATTCCCCACCTCTAACTGCTTTATTCTCTCCACAAAATCCAGAAGAAATCTAGCTTCCAAAACACAAATTCCATTAATAAGCACATAGAGACTGCAAAATAGATTAACTCATTGGAAAACCTTATTCACATAGTGTTCCCAAAAAATGAATCTGCTTTCTCTGTTTACTTACTAAGGCACCCTATGAATTTTGTGACAACCTCTAACTAATGAATTCTACATTCCCCTGGTAGGTTGCTCTAGGAAATCCATCTGCTTCCTCACAAACATCTAATTTTTTGCAATTGGTTCTCACTATTAATGCTTCTATACCCAACGGCTCTCAATTTTCCCTTGAACAAGTCCCTTGTAATTTTCATGCATTTGACGCCATCTCCCACAGCATCTTCATAGCTGAACTGAGGAAGCGTGGTCTGAATGATCAGGAAGTGAAGTGGATTGTGAACTGGCTGAAGGGAAGAAGTCAGAGAGTTGTGGTCAATGGGACAGAGTCTAGTAGGGTCCCTTAGGGGTCATTACTGGGGCCAGTGCTGTTCAA